ACACACTTAAAAAAACAGAACGTAAAAGCAAAAAAAAAGTCCATTGGAGTGAAATGCAAGAGAAAGTCAACATATTTTGCCATGTAATCTTGTCCATATTATCTCAGAGCCTAAATAACACACAAAATCTTATTCAATAATTTCTTTTTCACGAGATCTTCAATAATAAAAAAAAGAGTACACAAAAATTACAGTATAAGCAAATAATGCAAGATGAAGTAATAGCACACCTTCTGGCATAACGCAAATTTAAATAAATCTCCAATGCATACACAAACACACTATTTAGCATCTCTTCCCCGCAATTCGCTCGCGCGATATGCTCTCCAGAAGATGTGTATAGGGAGATGTTTAACAATAAAAATTTACCGTGTGAATTATGTAAGAAGGGGTATTTAGCGAATAAAATGCTATTACAATGCGAAAACTTATTAAAAGGATTTAACAGACATGCTACTTTAAATGCATGCGCTCATTTTAATGAACCATCGAGAGGAGAAATGCAGAAAAAAAAACTCCATAAATTCTGCTCACTTTTTTTTCGCACTCTTCTTTCACTCTTTGTTCAGTCATCAATAAATATATGTTAAGTGTGAAGTGTGATTATTGGGTGAGATGAGGAACTCTCGCGCGCAGATTTTCCAGAAAACACTCACCCACTTTTACAATAATGTGGAAGTGTAGCAACTGGATGTGTTTGAGAAAAATATCAGTGCATCGCAATCATTTTGCAAAAGAAAAATCTATATATTCCTCACCCAATTCAATGAGAAGTTGCAGTTGTATATTATATTTTATGATCGCCACTGTTTTTTGTCTGCTTTCCGCAGGCAATTTTGTTCCGCAGTTTAGTCACTCATGTTTAAATACTTATTGCATACATATTAAAGGAGTTGAGAAAATCAACAAAGAGAAACCACGCCATATAGAGCTATGGAGAGGCGCGGTAATAAAAGAAATTGAACGAATATTTATGAGCAAACACCTCTCAGCTCTGCTGCTACTGTTTTTAAATTTGCGTGCAGAGCCAATAAGGAGTTAATTAGAACAAAAGGCGATATATTGTTAATCATAAAAATTCCCATCTTTTATGCGCCTCAATGAGCAAATGCGGATGTTTAATTAGGGAAAGACCACGAGGGAGACCTCTAATTTCCATCCAACACACACACACACACACATAATATACTACAAAAAGGCTGAACATCAATATTTCGCGAAAATAGCAAAAACATAATAGGAGGAAGTGTTCATTACACATTGTAACACAAGTTAACTAATAAATTGAATTAAATTGCGAAATATTTTCCCTCTCGATGGTTTTACACACACTGTACAATTTTTTTTTTTCACACAATTATTCAAACATTTTCTTGATCACAATATGTATGAATTATATGAAATAATTTGAAAGCCTTATGCAATGCGCATAATAAGAGAGAAAAAAGAAAAAATCTCTCATTCGTAAACTTAAAATTTATAGTAAAAAAATATATATTGAGATTACAGTTACAAAGCAAAATATGTCGATTATCATTGAGTCCAAGGAAATTGAGAATAAATATAAAGAAATAAAATTGTAAAAATAAACCCACATCCGAAATATTACTTCCCAAAAAAAGATTAACAGAAATTCTGTATTTCGCCCCAAAAGAATTTCTTTATTGTGCTTTAATCATAGTAAAAATTTACCTTTTGTGATTCTCCTCCTCATCATCATAATTTCTCATTACACATTTTTGTGAAAATTCTAATACAGAATTTATCATTGTAATATCAGCAATTTATTGCGCTCAACAATTCTTCAACCACTTTATCACTTCTTTTTCATCATCATCATCATCTGTCTTCACGTGTATGATTAAGATATAGTTCAGAAAAGAAGAAGAATTTGACCAAAAAGATTTATCATCATGACAAACAGCACACATTCCGACCCCGAAAAAAAGCAACACGCGGAGTTTGGAGGCAAAAGAGCGACTCTTTTTCGCAAAGTTGAAAAATTCGCAAAAACACACCGCTTCATTAATGTTTCTCTTTTGTCTTTATCGTAAATTCTTTACTATATAGCATTTTGTAAATTTAAATTTTTCACACGATCTTCCAAGTTTTTTATTTGCTGACCGCCAGCATAGTTTTTTGCATATTTCAGTCTCTATAATTCTCTTTTTCCTCTCCCTCTCTCTCACTCTCTTAAGCCACTCAGAACTAGATTTTATTTATGGTATTTCCGATTGAATTTCAGTTGAATCATCCAACCCACTTGCCAATTTATCGCTGGCATGAGGAACTTTACTGAAACCACTGACAATGTGTTTAGACTGGGCAAAAAAATCATCTTAATTTGGTAAAAAGAGGTGGATTCACATTTGATTCATTCACATTTGAGCAACTAGATTCATTTTAGACACCAAATTATACAGATTCGCTAATCCATCTTCCTCCGGGTGTCTTATTGTAACAAGAAAATCACCTCAGCCACATTATAAATGATCTCTCTGTGCGCACAGATCTGTGCCAGATATTCTGTGCGTACTCAAAAGATCTCTCTCTCGCGATAATCACTAATCAAATTAACCAAAAAAATTTTGATGGTGCCCAATTATCCACCACACAAACCTGTAATGTAGATTTAGCAAAAAGGAGTCCCGAAAAAAATTACTGTCAGAATAAATTAACAAATGCGTTTGTCGCTCTCATAATCTGATAAATAATTATTTCCCTCTCAAGCGATGGAGAAGAAGAAAAGAAATCAATATGAATGTGGTGTTCCTTTGGCTTCTCATCCTCTTCAATTATTCCCACACAACACAAGCTCAGAAACACACCCGAGAAAACCCAAGAAAACGGTGGAGAAGAAGAGAAAAACCCCCCTTGAGAGTGCCAAGACTGAGAGTTCTTGAAGTAGGTCATTAACACAAAATTGAGTATCTCAACAGCGCGTCAGAGTGTGTTAGGAATTCAGGCATCTTTAATCTCCACAACATAACGATCTAATTCAAGTTTCTCCCTACTGATTTCTCTCCGCACACATCAGCCAAACATAAAAAGAGGTAACTTACTTGCCCTTGAACCTCAACCACAATTCCTGGTCAAAACGCTTAAACTTCTTTAGTTCCCCATCCCAGAATGAGTGTAAGAGAGGAAAAAAAACCTATTCTTTCACTCTGCTTGTCTTATTTTTCCTGTCACGAAAAGACTGTCTTATAGGGCGCTTCTCGGATAGAGTTTGTGGCATACAATAAGAAGAAGGAGAGACTTTTTGAAATGTCTCAAGTGAAACGCCTCAAATTTCATTGAAAGTTTCTCTCTCTCAAAATCATATTTGTCTGATGACTTGGCGAGAATTTCTTCAAAAAATCTTACCCAAATTAAATATACTTATGAAAATCACTTCTTCATCGTGGCAATGATGATTTTTCATAAAGAAAGATGGAAGAGAATTGTGAAACCCACACACAGATTTTATTATACCATCTTTTTTCATCACCTTTCAATTAGTCATAAAAATTCATTCATTAATTTTCACGCGAATAATCCATCAATTGATCTTCGTCACTGTGAATCGGAGATTCTTAATCTTCTCCCATTGGGAGATTCTCTCCACCATCAGAGAGTGTCATTTCTTATGCAAAACATTGTAATAATAATCATTTTGGGATATTGACCTTCGATGGTAGAGTTGACGAACCACCAAATAAGTTATTTTTCATCTCTTTTGGGTGGATTTCAACCAAGAAGGAAAAACAGGAGGCAAAAAGGCCAAAATTACATTTTTTCTTTGGTGCGTCCGTGACTAAAACAGCAACTCCAATTTAACATTTCAATGGCGAAAGAGTGTGAAATAGAAGGATTATGTGGGAGATTGAGAACAAATTAAGAGATATTATTTCACGGTCGTCAATTTTTTTTCACCATCGATTTTCACTGATTTATCACAATTTGTGCAAAATTAGCCACAAATTTCAATACAATGAATGGTTAATCAAGTATAGAGAGAATGAGAGCACCTAATTTTACCCCCCAAAAAAAAGACCATAAAAAAATAAGATAGGAAAGAAAAATGAAGAAATGATGCAATGAAATTTCGTGAAACGACATAAATTTTTACACAATCTCATGTGAGAAAAAGACTTCATGGGAATGGGAGAAACAGAATGATACACACAGTATCTCTTTAAGTGTGTGATTGATGGATATTTTTCGTAGAATAAATTATTTAATAACTCCCTCATTTTAGACACGCATTTGATAACTTCTCTTCCCCTCCCCTCTTTAAGTAGGCAACAAGCGAAAAACAAACATTTTCACTGTAATGAATATGATGTATTACTTTTCATTTGCAACAAACTTATTAAAGAATATATCAATTATTATGTATTGTAACTCTAAGGCAATTACATACAATTATGATGGAATAATATATGTTGGAAAATTGCTTGAGGAAAGACAGAATTGCCTTAGGAAAAATCTTTATATTACGCATTGGAGAAGTGTTGTGTGAATGATGAAAAGGCACTTGATGAAAATTCAATCAATTGCTAATCATTGTAATTAAAGTGAAATAACTTACACTTAGTTTTATTGTGAATCTCTTTCTATCCAATAAATTATTCAATATAATCGATGAAAGGGAAAAAAAATCTATACAATTCTGTGTGTCTGTGAAAAACAGAATTTCTTCAGAGTTTTACTCTCACTGAAGAGTGATTTAATTGCAATGCACATAGTGTTTCACTGCTTTGACTGTTGCTGCTGCTGCTGCTGCAGCAGTGATTTTATAATAATAAAAGTAATCATAATAATGTGAGTACAAGCAAAAAAAGACTCTCTTGCATTGCACAGAAAATATATTGGAGAAAACTTTCACATTTCTTCAAGTGAAATTAATTCACCCCGGCGCGAACGTGACTGTCTTGACTTGATTTCTTTTCATAAACGAAATTAAATAGAAATTTTCTACACAAAAAATCTACAATAAAATTGTTGTTTCTCTAGGCAAAAAGATACAAAATTGTCTGTGTGTTTTTTTCTTCTTCATGTCTTTAAACAACCTCTGTGTGTCATGCAATGAATTTTCCTTTTTATTCACACTCTCTTTCACTTCTTTCACGATATTTTACTTTGGATACTCTCTCTCTCTCTCTCGATCTCTTCACTGTCCGCGCGCACCGCCCTCGAGAGCAAAACTCCAGAAAAGTGGCTTCCATTTAAATATTATTATGTAGGTAAATCACATAACAATTCATGCTGAGTTTATTGACTTCCCACTTGTTATTCCTCTCAACTGAAATATGCAAATTTCCCTCCATTTAATGTCACATATATTCTCTTCGAGTCAACAATGCATTGTCATTGACTTCGAAAAATACACACAAAAAATGACTGCAAGTCAATCAGAAAATTACATTCAATGCACTTCTCAATATTGCATTTTCAAGTTTTATTGGGATGAAAAACACGTCATTTACCATGGGAAAATCATGTATGATCGCCAAATCTCTCACCCAAACGAGCAAGAGCAAAAGAGCGAGAGAGAGAGAGAGATCATTAGTGAGAAAGCCACAAGCAAATTGCAAGAGAAACACCTCTCATCTTGCAGCGCAAGTCGCATAAAAAGTCTAATTCGTGTCGGTTTACTTTCACTATGTGTGTAAAGTGTATGAAAAGTGTCTTTCAGCCGTTTTTATACACATTTACACAACATAATAATACCACACTGCGCGACGACCGACGACGTTTTGTGCGGTTCGGTTGAGGTACAAAACCAAAAGAGAAAGCTAACTTTGGCGGATATGGCTGTTTGTGTCGCTGCGCGTCATGATTTCATTAAATTGACTTTCAATCTAAAATAGATTTCCTCCTTTTTTCTCTTCATTTCCTCCTTTTCTTCTTCTTCTTCTTCTTCTCTGTGTGTGCATTTCATATGCATACAAAATTATACTGTCTCTCTACACACGTTTACAAATTATGGTTGAGCGATGAAGAACACAAAATAAAACAGATAAACATTGCAAATATAGCGCACAAGCGTCAAGATATAGGCAAACATTTTAGAGATGCGTAAGTGATTTTTTTCTCTCCTGCATCTCGTGTGTGTGCGTCTGTTTCTTTTTTTGCAGTATAGCGCGTGGTTTCAGCATGAATTAAATATTTATGTATATGAAAAAAAGCACACACATTTGCAATGGAAAGAAATTATAGAAAAACTTGCTAACTTACTAATTCACTCTAATAATGCTATCAGATATGTTTTTTCACACATTCCTCTCTATACATCACTTACTTTCTGGTTATTCAGCTTAACAGAAAATTCATATATCTATATATGTATACTCTTTACAAACGACTTGCCGTTCATCTTACATGTCTCTCAATCTCAATTTATGCTGTATACAATCTCGGCTAAGTGCATTAATTCATAGCCATAAAAGTTTTGTGTGGAAAAATCTATATAATTTACATTTTACATTTATAGCAATTACAGAAAGATTAATACAAAAAATTACTCAAATATCAGTTAAAAATGAAAAACTTCTGTACACAATTTATACCCTTAATCATTTTTATCGAACAAACTAAATAGGACATTTTCATCAATTTACTCTTCAACTGGCATCAGTTGCGGTGCTCCATTCCACACCATATCGATGCAGCTGAGAATTTCATTTCCCCGATCCTTCTCCTGAATGTACAGTGGCGCTTTATCACCAAACATATTGGGTGTCTTCACTTGACCACCGCCAAGATGCTGTGCTGCGAAGCATGCATTGAAAATTGGTACTTGTGCCGGTTGACTGTCGAGCAGAAGATTGGCAATTTGCACCCCAAGATGAGGCGCCTGTCCGTCATCACTGAAAACACTGCCACTGTCCGATGACACACAATCACTGCCCTTCGCACCACTCGGTGCTCCGCCATCGAGTGTCGGCGTGTCATCACTGCGTAAGTCCAGAGATTCCATCACTCTGCGCGAGAGAATCTCCCAGCAATCGTCCGTGAGGAGAAAATCACAGTTTGGTGGCGGCAAATCCTTGCCACTGTCAGCAATATTGATGAGGTCATCGGTGGCGAAATTCAGACCACTGAGAAGGTCACATCCCGAATCTCCAGAATCACTTAAACTACCCTTACGAGATCCATCGATATTTGTGCCATACACTTGCTGCTGCTGCTGTTGCTGCTGTTGGCACAATTGGGGCGTACTTCGCCACTCATTGCGCGCCGATGAGGACTTTATGTGACTCCCAATCACACCAACATTCCGCCTCGTGGCCTCCACTTCACCTGAATTGTCTGAGCACGATCTCCTGAGCGGGAATGCCCAGATCCGACAGAATGGATCACACAGGCGACAGCTGCACGAACTCATCTCCTCCGTTGACTCATCAACACCATTCATCATCAGTCCAATTCCAGGATCAGCCAGATCACCACTGAGTTCGGCAAATTGTGGCTCATCCGCCGCCATACACATCATACCCGCCGTCACACTGGCCGGACTGAACTCCTGAATGGTGGTCTGTGTTGACGTCGTGACCAGCGGCAGAGATTTCATCAATGATACACCATTACTGGCATTGGTGCAATTATTTTTAACTGGCATCGATCCGAGCATCGTGGTGACATTTGGATTCTGACATGCATTTGGCTTCCGCTCCTTCTTGCGCCTCTTGCGCGGCTTTATTATCCGCGGCAAACACGTGTCAGGTGTGTGACTATTTGAGGACGATGTTGAACTACTTTCATCACTGTTCATGGCCATTGAAAAGGCATCGGGCAGTGGCGGATGACTCGCCTGCGCCTGACTCAGCTGTCGATGACCATTTTCGTACACACCAAACTCATCCGCGACCCTCTGGACGGCCGCCGCCGCCGCTGGGAAGCACGATGGGATCTTCTGCATGGGCTGCGGATGTCGCACCAGCGGTGGCTTCCGATGATAGCCACGACCCGTGAGAATGAGTGGCGCTCCGTGAGCGTGAATGGCCAGTCGTGACATGGCATTCTCGTCAAAGTCCTGCGGCGCCGTGGCGGGCGGCGGTGGCTTGCTGGCCGGCGGCATCGAGTGATGCTGCTGCTGTTGCTGCTTTCTCGGACGTCGACTTGCCGTGCTAATCAAGGGCACACCCGTCCATCCATTGGCATTCTGATAGCAATTCATCATGAAGCCACCCGACTGGCCGGCCTGACTGGGCGGCGAAACACCTGCATTGCCGCCGCCACCGCCGACAGTGCCCTGGTGGAAGTAGGGCTGTCCAACAGGTGGTGTCTGGTGACTCGGCAAGTGATGTGTCGCCGGTGGTACCATGTATCGATTCACATATCGATCCATACATGATGGTAACGTGCTCATCATTGGCGCCAACCATTGAGGTGTCTTTCACCCATCAATCTCTGGCAGTCTCTCAGTGTGTTCTGTGTGTTGTGTCAAAGACGCGCGTCTTCCACCCACCAAACACACTTCTCTTCTCTCTCTCAGGGAGCCAGGAAAATAAAACGATGAAGAAGGTCCGTGTCCAAGTGACGAACGGTGCTCTAATAACACTTTAACATCATTCCGTGATATATTGCATTTCACACAACATTCAATTATTCTCCTCTCGAGTGTGTGTGGCTGTGCTATTCTTTGTGCTCTCTTTGCTTTCTTGTTCCCTTAGCGGCTCAATCACATACCATCTTCTGCACATTATAGACAGACATAGGTAAACAGCAATAAAATGAAGGTATCATCACAAATCGTTTCTCTAATCTCTCCACTTCTTTCTTTCTCTCTTTTTTTTCTGCCTACTATTATTAACTTATCTCTCGGCACACTATTATAGCTTTCTTAGTTGCAGAAATTCCAACATATGGAAAATTCTTCACTCAACACTCTTTTTTTCTTCGTCTTCTACTTCTCTTCTCACCGTGAGTTTTGCATAATTTCCAACACTAAACCGAACACTATGAATTGTGCATCACTTCTTTCTCTCTCTCTGCAATTGATTCTGTTCCACACACTCCCTCACGAGAGAAATGATGTTAGGGAGCCACGATAGAATGGTAAAAAGGCAGGAGAGGAGAAAAAAAACTAAACCATTTCTTTCACGCTGCCTCTATCACCTGTATCCATTTTTTTTAGTGAGCAATTTTATTCACTGCATCTCTCCAATAAATGCACCTTCAAGTTTAACTCCACAAGTGCAATGAACAGCACAGTTTTTCCTCTTCTTCTTCTTTCCACTTCTTTAGCCAAAGTTCGGTCGTTTAGAGTCTCTTTACGATGTTCTCCTTCCCCCCCAAAAATCAGTTGCATCAACCAACTGAGCACGCCAAGTGGCTGTTTTAATTGAGCCGAAGCCGTGCTTTACTCGAAATTAACGATTGTCACATTAAATGTTGATGGTATTTCAACACACACACAACATGTGCAAACTCATTAAATTCACATGGAAACTTGGTCAGACTTGGAGAAGAATTCTGTGAATTTGCCGTTGAGTTGTTAAAAATATCGTTTTTTTTTTTCTTTTCGCTGTTGCTATTAATGCCTTTACTCCTTCTTAACACACATGAAAATATCCCAACAATTGGCTGCAGGTGAAACAACAGCACAACACTTCACGAAAAAAAATAAACACACTTTATATGCTCCACAGTTTCTTTTTCCTCTGCCAAACTGTTCACATTATATTCCAATATTGTGCTCCAATCTCTTGCCATATATAAAAATGTCTATGGTCTTGGAAATCAATGCGTTTTATCCCATGTGAGACGACGAAAAGATTGTTAACAGAGACAGACAACAGGTAGTGGTGCAAGGTGAACAACACAACACAGTGTCTCAATTATAAATTCAACACTCTCCTTTTTGAATGATTTCTGTCCCTGTTTCTTTTTTATCATCGAAATTTTTGCACACTTTGAAGATCACCACAACACCAGATTTCACGCTGATTCACAATTTGTTGAATTAGATTATTAAATAGTTCCTTGATCTCCACACGAGATCCTCTCACAATGTGTTGATCTCTCCTTCAACTTGTCTACAGTCACTCAACTCAGATGCAAAACTATCTTCTCTTCAGCCCTCAATGAGCGCACGATCCGACCTGGATGAAAGCCGGCGGGCAACTGGTCTGGTCGGCTGGTGGAATCAACGATCGTGCAACTTCTCCTCTGATTTTCCACACACACAACACGACACACAATCGCACGAAACACACTTCTTTCCTCACCTTATAATGTTGATGGAGAATTCTTTTTTTTTCTTCTCTCCACACACATTTTGCTTGCGCTCTCCAAAGCTCTTTTCCACTATATGTATAGTATTCTTGCTGTGTGAAAATCCCTCTCAATACACACACGCGCGCGCACGCACACACAGAAGAGATATCAACCTTAAGATCATGCTGGATCGCACTGAGAATAAACACTGGGTGACAGTATGTAAGAATGAATTTAATTCTCTCTCTCTCTAAACAACGCGATCTACAAGATCGCGTATTGAGTGGAATCAATTGAGTGAATGGCTTTTTATGCACAATTTCTGCTCTCTTGGAAGTTAATTCTCTTCTCTCTCTTGTCCTAAAGTGCTTCTAGGAATGCTTGGAGGAGGAAAAGTATGGCACTCGGTTACTGAACCAATTGTTCTGACATTGGTCAGAGTGAGACAAGCATTCTCCCCCTATATATATATTGATCACTTTATTCTCCAATTGATTGGATTGATCAAACCGAAGAAGTTTCATCAGTTTTTCACGTGCGCGCGCAATCGTATAGCCGCTTGAGCGTTAAGAAAAACCCACAATAGACAGGAAACACTTCAATCAACCATGTCAATTAAAAATCATCCACTACTCACTCATCATGACAATTACCATCACTGATGATATTGATTAGTATGAAAGAGAAATTATTGGCATAAATGGTTATGATGGCAATTTCACATCTTCTTCTTCTCACACTCTCTCGCTCTCTCTCTCTCTTTGACGCTTCGATCATCCCATCCAGAGGAGTTTTGTGTACTACTTTAAGCAATCTCCACATTGAATGATGATCACGATATGCAAAAGTGAAAATTTTCAAAATGTATGTCACACTCTGTGATCATCATTTCTTTCTTTTTCACCTCCCCATTTTGTGTGTGTGACCAAATCTGCTGCTTCTGCGCGATCGTAAAACACTGATCATCATCAATAAATCTCTCTCTATAAAAGTTTCTGCTTAGCACAGAAATGCGCCAATTAACTGACAAATTGAAAAAAGCTAAGTAATTCACAGACAATCACGCCCTAATCTCTCAAAAGGAGACCTTCGATCAAACCTTTGAGTCACTCCAAATTGTTCCAAGTGATCTTTTACCCAAGATGGCAAACAGCGTTTTAAAAAAAATGCTCTCAAATAGCGTGATCTTTCAGGGTTGACCCAGTAACTTCTCCACCTAGATTCTCTCCTCTAATTTCCTCTTTAATCTCCACAATTCCAATAAATTAAAAGGGTGATCTTTAAATGTGATCTCTTCAAGGCTACACACTGAATTGTTCCGTGCAATGATCATGCAATTTTTTCATCTTCTCTCTCACTCTTTATAGTCAGATTTGTGACGATTTTTACCATGGGTAATTTAATCTCACAGACACGATTAAGCCAGCGAAATACTCTGCATTCCATTGTATATATAAGTTTTATAAGAAATCAAATGAAGCACTATTGGTCACACGATCATATTATTATTGTGAGATTCAAGCATGCAATCAATTCTATTCTCCAACACATTCACATTGTTGTTAATGGAGCTAAAAACGATGATCATAGGGTTATAATTGTTGCTCAATTAAATTTTCGCATTATCTCATGGCAGTGATCAACACTTTACTAATTGATCATGCAAATTGGATATTAAAAATAATAAATTATGGTGAAATTGAGGGGAGAGATGCTAAAGACACAGGCAGAAAGAGAAATTTTCCCTGATCTTTCTTCATTGAGACTTTCTTCTGGCTCTTTTTTCTCCTCTTCTTCTTCTCCTCATTATCGACTCTTTTCATCCAAATCCTGTCTCTCTCTCTTGGCGTGTCTTCTGCCTTTTGTCACAATACACAAATCTCGCAAGTTTTTTTTTTTTTTGTTCTTTGTCAACAAACATCAGAGATCAGTCTCATTTGGGTGACTTTTTTGCGTGCTCTGTCTTCAACATTTTAGCCAAAAAATTACTTTATTTTTATGTGCCACTTTTGGCGGAAATAATAATAAAATTCATGCATATTTCTCTGTTTTGCAGACAGATCGCTCTTTTTTTGCTCTCTATCTCTCTCTCTCTCTCTCTCTCTCTCTCGAGTGAGGCATATATAAATTGTTTGAGAGGAGTCTTTTAGGGGTCGAAATTGGGTCATCCGTGTTCATTTGTATGCATCATGGACATGTGATCTTCAGGTGAAAATTAAAGGTGTGAGAGAGAGAGCAAGAAGATGGTGTGAGAGTTAGAGGAGAAATAAAAACGCGACGTTTATTTAATGAAGCAGATGGGTAAGTGAAGATATGGAAAAAATATGCTCAAGCATCACTTTCTCAATTTCTTCTTCTTTTCACCCATCTGTGACCACATTTGGCGCGCCATGACTGACTGTGGCCGTTGGGCCTCTTCTCAGGCTCTCGAGAGCCTGCAAAAGAAGCAATAGAAGCACTCTTCTGTGGCTTTGCGTGAATTTTACACCATTTCCATCTTTTTCGTTCACTTGCAATCTCTCTTCTCATCAACACACACACACAGAACACCTTTTAGCAGCACTTTTTGCCAACTGTGCTCCGATTTTTTCTTACTCACCAAAAACTCATTAATAAATATTTAATTTAGTCTGTCTTCATCACGCAAGAAAGACGCATGAAAACTATAATTAAATAAGTCTGCAACTAAATTTAGATTCAACAGTGTCATTTCGTTAATAAACATTATAATTCAATAATTGACACAAGATGCAATTTGTGCATTGAATAGTAAAATCCCGAGAAATGTTCAATGAAAAAAAGGAGGCCTTGAAGAGTGAAAGATCTTCATGGAAGAGGAAGGAAAAATAAAACCCCAACAATAATCTCCAATTAAAAGAAGTCTGTGTTCTTTCAACGCAAAATTACTATAATTTCAGCAAATTATCTCAAGCTGTTTATCTTTTTATTTACACACATAAAACACACGCATTAAATTTAAATAAGACAAGAAAATTGAATCAAGCTTGCAAATACCAAAGTAATAAAATGAAACCGGAATTTTCTTTTTTTACCATTAAAATCATAACTTTCTTCCTCTAATTTTGTCTGAAAAATCTCCATAATTCAATTTTAAATTTTTGCCATTTTCACCACCAAAAACTTCCCAACAAAATGTGGGTGTTTGCTCAGTGTTGCCGCAGAAATTAATTTGTGTGTCACACAAGAAATTAAATCAATTTTAACGCGCGTATCACTTTTTTTCTTCTTTTTCTCAGCGCCTCTCCTTTCGCTCGCATTCGCGCCTTTCTTTCATCACCCACATTTTGCCTTCGGAAAACAAGTGCAGACAACATTCAGGAAACTTTCATTAATTGTATTCAAATTGCCTGCCGATTTATTCACCATGCTACGACAGAAACACAGAGAGATAAAAAATTCGCCACCAGCAATTCATGTTAAGTTAGCATGAATAATTAACTCGGTGTGACACACAAATTCTCAAACTATACTATACTCAATTGAGGTGTTTGTGGTTCATTACACGCCGCCAAACAACTGTGAGAGATTCAATTTCAATTGAATCTGAAAACTCCCCTTCTTCAAGCCATCATGCCCAAAGAGAAGAGAAGAAACTTTGTTGCACACACAAAGTCTTCAAACAGCCTTATTAAATACAATTCCCTCGTGATTCTGACTCTGTTTCAAATGGAAAATCAAAGAATCATTATCGACATCACCTTGACCAAATCTCAGCCCCTCATTCTCTCGCTCTTTCTGCCACTTGTCTGTGTTGTACAATTTGCAACAACACAAAAGAGCCATAGAATTGGAGAATGACCAATTGTCGATTGTGCCCCGAACAAATGTGCGGGGAGAATTCCCGGAAACGCCATAAGATCGCGAGGGATTTCCAATATATATGAGCTGTGTGAAAATTCCCTGACCCACAAGAGAGCCAGAGAGCGAGAGAGAGAGAGAGAAATCCTCACCCAGTGATCTAATTCGTGAATTGTTAATGGGAATTTTTACCCAAAAAACACAAGGAAAAAGAACAGAGAAAAAAAACAGAAAAACACATGTTGAAAGTGAGAATAAAATTCTCATTGACTAGAATCTCAATTAATTGTAAAAATACAATGTTTATTGCATGATATGGATGGTAAAATTGTTTCAAAATTCAATTGATTCTTCACAGTTTCACTATACAACATTTAATTATCAGACTAAAAGTGAGAGACTGACATTCAATTGATCACTTTCAATTGGGCGGAAAATTAAAATTAGAAAGTCGTGCTGAACTTAATGTGAAAATTAAACTCAACACAACACAACATAGAGTGCAACACAAGTATATTTGACTACTTCTTCTGCTTCAATCAAGTGGAAAAGAGACTTGAAAATACTCAAAAATTTCCCTTCAAATATAAATATATAATTTATATCAACTCCCTTTTGCTCACAAGTTAAATATAAGGAAATTATAAACATTGTAGTGAAACTTCCCGGAATTGAGAAAGAGAAATACATAGAGAGCAAGAGAAGAAGTGTAATTGAATGTCTTAATATTGTGAATTATGCAAACGATGCCACACACACGTTAGTTCAATGGGGTCAATCACGATCTATACTTATTGGTTAGACCGAAAGGGATTTTCTCTATCAGCGCCACACACACACAGAAAAACCATGGAGAAATGATAGAGACTCCTCTCTCAATCACTCTTCAGCCCATTCACTTCAATTACCATCACAAATTAGTCAAATAATGTCGTTAATGTGCCCTCCCTCTTTCTGTATCTCTTCCCCATCTTGAGATATTCTCTCTCTGTGTGCCAGAGAATGAAGAAATTCTGAGTCATGGTGGAAAAAGAATACATAATAATAATCCAACAAGAATACAGAAATGTTTGGCGAGAATGCACAATATGTCGACATTCTTATCTCTCTGTATCATTTAACATTTTGTCTATAATTTGTGACCTTTCCTTGTGCGCGCCTCTCTCGCTCGCGCACTCTTTCTCACTATAAACTCAGTTCCCATTGTCTTGTGATACTTCCCAAGAATCTGATCTTCATATAATCGGGTGAATTATAAAAAGCGAGAGGCCGAGTATGTTTTGCCCTCTTTTTTTTCCACCTCACACACAACTCAACAACAACAAGACAAAACACCCAGTCAAGGAGTCATTTAGAACAATTTAACCATGATAAAATATTTGCACAAATTAATCATATCACAAGTGAGTGACACAAATTAAAGAATGCCTGCTAAATTGCAGCAAATATGTCAATTGTCCAAAGGAGAGACACAATTATTCTATGCTGTTGTGTTTTGCTGTTACTACAAAATGTCTCACACAACAACAACAGCAACAACAGCATAAAATCCAAGCTCAGAGAGGGAAAAATGAATGGAGACTAATTCCAACTCCACAAAACGTGTGTGAAGGACATTCAATGCCTGATCATTCACGCACTTGGAGAATTATGTATGACGAGTTTTACAAGCAAAAATTCCACCTCCCTTTTCTTGACAAATAACAGCAATAATAATACGCTGAAAAATCCCACCTTCGCGCGCCACAAAATGCGCCAAGGAATGAAATTGTTTCAAGCCAGCAATAAATCATCAATGCAGTAAATAAATCGCACCCGATTTCTTCCCCATTGCAACAAACTTCACCCAATTCTCTTCTCATTTGATGCACACGACTTTTTTTCTTCTCCTCCTTCTTCTTCTTTTATTTCTTTCAATATAATCTGGGAGTGTTTCTGTAACTTCTCTATGGAATGAATTTTCAGAGATTTCACTGTCACGATTTTGTGCTCCAGAAATTGTGCAATTTTCCTTCTACATTTACTCTCAATCAACATCGCAGATTCTCCAATTCATTCTTCACATATACTATATTCCTATATATGTATTGCACAATTGTGCAACATACAATCGTGATTCTATAGAAAATTTCACAAATCTAATCTCCAACTCTAGCTTAGAGCTGAAATCAACTCTAATTCTCAATTTGCCTAGAGTGGTTTGTGTCTTTGCTGAGTGGAGTGAAATTTTTGGCATTTTATGCTTCATATTTAATATTTGTGTGTGAGAAAGAAGGAAAAAGGACTCACCTGTAAGAGTGTCCAACATGAATGTAAGTAGCTTTTGCGTTCCATTTGGCTCATTGTAAATGGACAGGATGTCTTTCCCGAGTGGGTTTCCATGCAACCCCAGCATATGTAAATGAAACAACTTTCCGATTTCATACGGTAAAACACGCAAAAAATTATGATTCAGCAGGAGTTCTCTGTGGAAAAGATAAAGAGTTATTAGAATATGTTGGGAAAATGCATCACTTTAATCTGCACACAAAAACTCACCTCAGTTGAATGAGATCGCCAAGTTCAGCGGGCAAACTTCTCAATTTGTTGCTGGACAGATCGAGTGTCTTGAGATTGACCAATTGTCCAATGTCGGGTGGCAAGCGGAGGAGGTTGTTGTCGTTGAGATAGAGCGCCGTGAGATGCTCGAATTGCCACAGCGCTGGGCTCAAGTTCCTCACATTGCCTGTTATCTCGACCGCCTGCCAGTTTGTCTTTCGACCCGCTGCAATGTCTTCAGGTGACAGGAATACAGTTTGCCTCCTTGGGTTGTTATTTTCATATTTATCTTTGTTTCGTGACATTTTGTAGATGTTGCCTGGCAAAATGGACACAAAATTAGTTCATTTTCCCAATTTCAAACTACGGAAATTTGCAATTTCAACCCCCTTTTCTGCCACGCGCACTCTTCCCTTCGATATTAATTAATTAATTTCACGAGAGTGGAAAATGTAATTGCAAATATACATATAAAAGCTAGAAAATCGATAATTTCACACCAAAAAGATGATTGAAAACCAGACATGAAGAGACACAAATATTGCTCTCTTAACAATTTACGTTAAAAAACTGTGAAAACTCCGAAAACTCTCAGAATGCTTTGCCGAGAGTTGTGCTTAGACAAAATTGAGAAAGAAAAGTCTGTCGTCAGATTTTTCTAACCTCATGTTTGTCTTCAGTTAATCTTCTTTTCATCCTCTTTTATCTTCAATTATACTCTTGTTTATCTTCATCTCTCGTGTTGCTTCTTGTGTAAACAACTGAAAATGTGCATATTTTAACATAAAAAATGAATTATCTGTACAACTGCAGATTAGATTTCAAGATAGGCGCGCATTTTACTCTGCTTTGCTTCATAATAGAGAGAGAGTTTTGTTGGATCTCTTGAGCTGGCGTGCTTCTGATAAACCCATTGACCTCTTCCCATCAGAGGCAACACTGATAAGCCCTCGTCTGGCCCTTGAGCGGCCAGAAACTTTTGGGGGGAAATTGTCCACTTCTTGCATTGCTCTGCGTGTGTTATCAAACAACCGCGCGCGCGTGGACAAAAGAGTGCGAAGAAAGGGGTCGAAAAGGTGGCGTTTTGCGGGACTTTCCGACACCGGCGGACGCCCAGGAGTTTGCCGAAGGTGTGAATGATGAGAAAGTGGATGCGATGCTGGTGACAAAGTCCGAAGAGAGTCAAGAAATATCTGGTATTTGGCGATTGATGTGTGAACGACCTGACAAAGGCAAGGCTAAGGTCACAATCTCTTCCTCTCTCGCTCTCTGCGACTGGTAGCGCCCTCATGGTGTGCAACCCCCGAAGAATGGGTGGAAAAAAGACACCCAGAGCCGTTGCTCAATCGACACTAATCGATAAATGATGATGGAATGGCCGCGATGAACCACCAAATCGCACTGCCATCGGCTCGTCAAACAGACAACAAGCCTCTCCGGGAGACGCTCAATGGTGGAAAAGTGACAAGAGTCGCTGAATTTTGCGTTTCTCGCCCATCAGCTTTCCCCCCTTGACTTGACTCTCGAAGCCCACACACGCCTCTCCGTGGGACAAAAACACCCCAAATCCACGGCCCGCGACACCCGGAGGCACACAGGCAGGCGCTCGGCCACACATCCCACCCCTTGTGGGTGCTCTTGGCACGCTGGAGACGGTGGAAAGAGCCCTCGGACGCACCTTCATCTACTTTTTCAGCTGCGAAGAAGTCGAAGAGAAAATGTTGCGTCAATACGCTGTCGCCTTCTTGTGCGCTTATCCACTTGATAAAATCCTCTTCACCCCCAATGAGGCACGGTATCGACGGGCAAACACACACTGTGCACTTGTAAATGCAATTTTTGGTGCGATTCCACGGAAAAAGGGCACAATTTGCACTATTTTTCACACACTTTTCACACAATTCGCCACCAAAGAATGCGTATATCCTCGAACTCACCACTCGCGGCGCCACTCATCGCTCAAGGGGTGACACCAGCATTCCGGAAAATTTCCACAATGGCGCGCGCATGACACTCATTCCGGGGGACGCTGGCAACGGTCTTTTGAGCGCTCAAAACTTGTGACCACGGATTTAATAGCGATGGACACCCCCAAGAGGACTCCGCTGCGCAATAAGCACCTTGAGAATGTGTTTGGCAATATTCTGGGCACTCCACTGAAGATTCCGCCGTCGCCACAGCTGCAGAAGCTGGGATTTGGCACAGGTGAGCAGAGATGAGGTTATCGAAAGAGTTGATTTTGAATGTGAACGATGTGAATTGAATGATCTTTGGCAGGAATTGAGGTCTGTCGCGTGAACAGGACACCGAGCAAGGATGTGGTGAAGTCTCCGTGGGCGGTGAAGCGCCTCAATCGCTTCGCACTGGATGGGGACATGCAGAATAGCGAGGTGTACTCGGAGAGGCTGGAGAAGGAGGCAATGCTCCTCCGGAAGCTGAACCATGGCAATATTGTGGGCTTCAGGGCGTACAAGAAGGGTCCGGATGGACGGAATATTCTGGCTCTGGAGATCTGCGATTCATCCCTGGCTGACATTCTGGAGAAGCGTCTGGAGGAGGACATGGGACCACTGGAAGTGCCTAAGATCGCGAGATTCTGTCTGGACATTGCGGCGGCGCTTGAGTATTTGCACAAGGAGATGGAGATCCTCCATGGGGACATCAAGTCGGGCAATGTGCTGGTCAAGGGAGACTTTGAGGTCTGCAAACTCTGTGATTTCGGAGTGTCTCTGAAGATTGACAAGTCTGGCCACATTGATCCGGACGATAAGTACGTGGGGACGGATTTGTGGGCAGCTCCTGAAGTCATTGACGACATGACGTCGCTGATTGGCAGCGGAAGCGACATCTTCAGCTACGGTCTGGTCATTTATGAGACCTTTGTCCTGATGCCGCCGCACTTCTTCGGTCTGGACGATGAAGACAGCATGACTGAACTGGACATGAGAGTGGGCACGAGACCTCCGCTCCCGGAAACACTGGAGCTCTCCAATGACTACAATCTCTACGTGGGTCTCTTCTACGCCTGCACAAAGGATCTGCCTGAAGATCGACCCTCGGCAGAAGCCATCCAGAAAATGCTTAAATAATCCAACATAAATGCACAATAAACGATTTTATTCTCATTTCCCTCATCTCCTGGACTTCTTCTTGCCTTTTCCCACCAACTTCTTGCCCTTTCCCGGCGCAGCCTTGAAGGAAAATTTGGATTTTCTGCTGCTCTTCTCAGCTTTGCCGCTGCTAAGTTTCCTCTTTTTCCCTTCATCCCCGCCAGAATGTCGTTTCGTGTCCGCGGGGCGCTTCCTTGGCCTCGGAGGGCGCTTCGGATCGTTCGGTGCGAAGAGTTCTCTGTCCGGTTCCTCGCCAACTTCCTCCTTGAAGTACTCAGCGTCGTCATCAGGCTCATCATCCTCCTGAACTGCTCCATTCCCTTCAATCTTCATCCCTTGGAGGCACTTTTTCTTGTGCTTCTCCTTCTCCTCTTCCTTCTTCAGCAGATTCCTCGATTGCTCCTCCTTCCGGTCCTGCTTCAGACGACTCCTCTTCTCAATCTTTCGCCTGATGGCGTCTTTCTCCTCCTCCGTCTTCACCACGAGCTCATGGAACAGCACCTCGCCGTTGAACAGTCCATCCTCGATCTTCATCAGCTGCACTGTCATGCGAGGCCCCAACTCGTGGAGTTTGATGGCGGACTTCTGGTTCTGCAGGCTTCCTCGGGACGACAAATCCTGCGGCAGAACCACATGCGACGCCTCGTCATCCTCGAATTCCGAGTCTGACAGCCCAGTAGACTTCTCAATGAAGTCCGCAATGTCCTCACACTTGGCCAGATTGGGGATCTTGCCTGTGATGAGCTTCTTCACGCTCCTGGACACTCCCACCGGCAGCACGCGAATGGCAAAGTGTCGGACATCGATGAGCTTTGATGTTGGATTGTAGGAGAACAACACACACCGTCGAATCCTGGCCAGTTTCACAGTGGACACATTGATGGTGGGGAACATGTTCTGCAGCACCTGAGCCATGAGCTTGAGATGCTTTCCCTCGCCCGAGAAGCTGTTCAGGATCACAAGAGGAGCCGATTCGTATGACTTCTCGTCCATGTAGGGCCTCTTCTGGGCACCAATAACGTCCTTCATCAGCGTGAATTGGTGAATCTGGAAAGATAAACACTTAGAACGGTGCCCTAACGACTTCTGGAGTCCTGGAAGTCCTGCAAAGTGCGCACCTTGAACGTGAGCGTTGGCCCACGAGGAAGTCTGGCCACTTTCCAAGAAACCTGCTCCTTGGAGCGATTGAACACCGCCATGTGGGACACATGAAAAGTGCTGGACAAGCTGACAAAGTCCTTGATCTTGTTGCTCTTCCGCTCCTTGAGATTCATGGCCGTGAAGGGCTCCATCACCTTCCGGAAGTCTCGCGTGAGGTCACTCAACTTCGGGCAGGGCAATCCACGGTGAATTACGAAGGAATGCGGCGCATTCAGCATCTCCTGAGGCTCCTCATTTCCCACCGTGGGGATATTCTTCTTCACCGAGCGTCCCTTTCTCTTCTTTTTCGCCATATCAGCAGTTAAAACCACGCTCAAAACACTCCCTAATGGTAAACACGCGTGACCACTAATTTGAGGTTACGTTGAAGTGCCAAAAAATTCCGGAAGAACTGTCAAACAACCCCAGCGCCGCCATTGCACGGTTTGTTTTACTCCAGAACGCGCAGAGTCTGCCGGTTCGCGTGGATTTTATCCGTGAATAACTAGGTGAAAAGTTGTGAAGACTCACTTTGAGCAGTGTTTTGTGCATCTACACGCCAACGCAGAGTGATTTAGCGCACAGGTAGAGATAAATCTGTGGTTATTTGAGGTGATATTTTCATGTGAAAGGGCGCCACGTTCTTGTAAGAAAATGCTCAACTTCGATCTCGGTTTTCCTGATATTTTCCGTGTCCGGGAAGTGTTTACACAATGCACGAGTGCGAAGGGGTTTCTAGAGCTGCAATTGCAAGTGATTGGGGTAGTGATGAGGCAGCGGAGATGGTGAAAATGAGAGGGTGGCTGGTGAAGCTTTTCCTCACTTTGTTGGGCGATTCAAGATGGCGACCGTCAAGGCCGCCTTTTATTGATACATTTTCGCAGAGTGGATTTTTATTGAGCCACTTTTGAGGCTATTTTCGTCTATGGAAACCACTAATTTTCCACCCTTATCTCTTGGTGGTGTTCTCTGTAGTGGCAATGACGGAGGTGCAGGAAGGCAACATCATCAAACTGCGGGGTTTGCCGTGGAATGTGACCGTGAAAGAGATCAAGGAGTTCCTCAAGGACGTGGAGACTGTGAATGGCGAGAACGGAATCCACCTGATCACGTCCCCGAGAGACGGCCGTCCCAATGGGGAGGCCTTCGTGGAGTGCGCCAGCGAGAAGGACTTCAACTTGGCTTTTGAGTACAACAAGAATGTCATGGGGCATCGATACATTGAGAGTAAGTGCGCGATGCTTGAGTCGGTTTGCTTTCCGGGGAGCAGAAAGAGTGATAAAATGAGAGAGAGAAAGAGGATTTTGGGGTCTGAAGTGGCCGAAATTCCAATAGGTGTGGCACGAGCGGATGTCTGGGAACTCGAGGAGGCCAGACGTAGTTTGTGGACAGCCACTGCCGAGGAGAAAAGCCACGGCGGTGCTGAATCCAGTCCTGAGATCTCGTGCTCGATGGGCATTTCGGGGGCGCTTGCCGATAGTAATGCCGGCGAGGTGACAGAAACTGAGAAGAAGACGGAAGTTGTGGTGAAGCCCAAGCTGTCGAAGACGGCAAAGCGCCGCGAAGAGAGGCGCAGGCAAAGGCAGAGGAAAGTCCAGAGGATATCCTCTGAGGAGGAGATCCACTCAGAAGATCCTTCTCGTAAGTTGTGTCCAGGGGAAAATACTCAGGGATGCACGCAAACACACACTTTCGGGGCCTCTGTTTATGTCCTTTGGCCATATTGAGTTGATTCAATTTTTTGCTTCCTCTTTCCTGCCTGTTTATTGTTTATATTTATACCTTATTATTACGCGCTTTTGTTGATTGAAAAGTAATTAAATTGTGCTTTCTCTTGCAGTTTTCGCTGCGAAACCCGATGAATTTGAGACAATCATGAGGAAACAATGTGTCGTTCAGGCGGACACTTTCGTGAAACTCCGTGGATTGCCTTACAGTGTTTCACCGGGTGAAATTGAGACATTCTTCGAGGGTAAGTTCAACGAGAACAGTCATAAAAATTCTCTCCAGTCATAATTCAGAAAACAAAAGTCAATTTCTTTTTATATATATATATCTTGTAAAACTTCTCTCGCTTTTTTGTTGTGGATAAAAATTTTCATGTTTTTTCAAAGAGGGGGAATCTTGGTGGCTCATTTGATTGTTCTTAATGGATAAACCCCGGATTATTAGAATTTTGTCAGTTTCATTGGTTCAAATCTTGTGTGAAATTCTTCCAAATGTCCCGAAAAATATTGATAAATTCTATTTCATTCATTAATCATTTGATGGTAAAAAGACGATGCTTTTATTTTGGGACATTTCTGAAATGTTTGCATGAAATGGTTTCTCTCTTCTTGGAAGAAACTTGAATTGGATTTCAGTAAGAAATTCTTTAAAAAAGTAAAATGCCACTTTTTTCAATTTGCTTTCTTGTTGTGACCAAAAAAATAAGAAAATCAGTGTATAAAAGGAGAGAAAGTGTTGTTGTTTTTTTCTTAATTCTAACTCATCAAAAAAAAAAGAAAACTTTCTGATGCATGAGCGAAGAAGAAGAATCTCTTTTGATTATTAAAATGAAGACCATTTACTGAAAACCCGGGTGTGGATGGAAATGAAACGCAGGGTTGGAGCTAAAGCAGGACCGAGGCGGTATTCATATTGTGATGGACAACAGGGGGCGCGCAACGGGTGAAGCGTTTGTACAATTCGTAAATCCGGATGACACTGAGAAGGCTCTGAAGAAAAATCGGGAGAAAATTGGGCACAGGTGGGTGTGTGGGTTTACTATTTGCAAATCCAAAAGAATCTCAATCACTTCTTTACTATTTACATGTTATCTCTTAATACTATTTACTATATTGTTTTTTTTTTATCTCTACTCTTAAATATAAAACAAAACAACAATGTATTTTTGCTACATTTTTACAAAACTTTTTTTTATATACTTTTGAAGGTGTCTGATTTTTCTTTAGTCTAGAGATTTTTTTTTAACTTCTTAATATTTTTTTGAAGGTGTTTTTCTTTATAGTTAGTTTAGGTATTGTTTGATTCTCTATCAAGTGTATTTTTTTTTAAGTTTTTGCATTTAGTTTGTTTTTCTTTTCTCTTTCAATTCTCATCAAATGGGTAACTTTTTTCCTTTGATTTCAATTTACAATATTTGGCGTAAGAGAAAAGCAAAAGAAAGAAAGAAAGGAAAAAAACATGAAAGATAGAGAAAAAAGAGTGAAAAAAATGTTTTGATTTATTGTTGTATCTCTTTTTTCTCTACACTTTCAATGTTTTTTTTACACACGCATAATTTTTTTTAATCAATAATAAATAATGTACTAATTTTACTCTTATAACTGTTACCTATTTATACAATAATTTGCAGTGCAATTAACTCTCTTGATTCGATGTGAGTTATTACAGCTTAATTGGATTGCAATTTCTGAGCACAGAAAAAAAGAGTGGAGAAAAATGTGCGGTTTTCACTATCATCGGGCAGATAAATTGATTGATGTTAATTCAAGGTTTTATTATGCTTTTATTATTATTGCAGTGAATCAAGAGGGTTAATTATACATTATAGAGAAGCAAGAAAAAAAGAAGAATGAAAAGAAAAATATCTAAGGATCAAATAATAATTAGAATAATAGATAATTCTTATTTTCTATTATCATTATGATTTTCTCAATTAAAACCTTGGCAATTGATTAATTGGGTTTAGGTTTTCTCTTAATGTAATCTTTGATGAATAATAATTATAATGATTAATTCACGTTTAGAGATATACGATTGCAAAGCTTTCTTTTTAAGCGCCTCCCTTAAGCCTAAAAGCCTTCCACATACACTCGAAAGCTACCATGTATTTCAGAGGTGGGAAGGAGGACGGAGGGAGTCTGGCAAGAGAGAGAGAGTGATGGGTTTGGTACTGAGAGGCCCAAAGCAGTGTTGGTGTGGCGAGCGTTGGGCGGCATATTTGTAATAATGATGGAATATGCGACACCTTCTGTTTCTCTAGATAATGTTGGATTTTGTGGCGGAGGAATGAAAGAATAGAGAGAGAGAAATGTGTTCCCTTTGGTGGTGATGATGATGTTTGGTTGGAGAGAAAGAAGAAGAACAGGAGTGTGATCATCAAATGCAAAGCGAGCGTCTTAATAATATATAATTGCCTACAAGAAAAATTCATTAATTTTACACATTTGTAGTTATCTAAGTTTCATCCAAATGCCATATAGTTAATTTTGTTTGTATCTTTTTTATATGATCTGTTATGTGATAAAGAAGCACTAATTTCTTTCTTTTTCCTCCTTCCTCTTCCACTCTCTTTTTCTCTTTCTCCTGTAAATCTCTTCTTGTGACTCTTTTGCCCGGCGCCGTCGTGAATGATAAAAACTGTAGGTACATCGAGATCTTCAGGAGTTCGGCATCTGAATTTCGCCGGAGTACATTCAATAGCAATCGACCTGGACCGTACGATCGAAATGAACGCGGTGGACCACGCATGGGCTTCGGAGGTGGTGGAGGTTTAGGCATGATGCGCAACCGTGGCAACTTCAAGGGAGGCGATCGAAGTGAGTAATCTCAAACTTTCCACTCTTACTGATGAGAAGACTTATCAGAGAGAAGGGATCAATTGGCACTCAAACTGAGGAATGTTAGAGATGTGTTAGAGTAGTTAAAATAGTCAAAGCTGCAGAATAATTTGTAAAAATTGATCAATCTGTGACTGTGGCTCTAATTTTCAAGCATAAATATGAAAGATATTTGCAGTAAATTCTTTTATCACAAATAATTTAAGCAAATTTCATCATTTCACTCTCTAACACTGTTTAAGTGACTTTATCATTTCTCAGTTTAAGTGGAAATTGACTCTGTAGATTCAATTGCGGGACAAACAAAATTGTTTGGGAGATTTTAGAGGTCATTTGACAGCGATGAGTAAATACAATTTCGTCCAAAAGGCCTCACAATTTGTTCACTGCATTGATTCTGTGTTAATCTCTGCAGTAGTATAATGTTGAGGTAGAGAATGTAATAATAATAATGTTACACCCTTTCTATCCATTGAAAATTTATGGAAAGCTTTCTTTCTCCTGATTTTCATTCCAAGGATTGGTACAATTTTTTCTTTACTTTACTTTACATCTTGATGACTGAGTTTGAGGTCTCTTTTTGCAATCCAAATGCATTAGAATTTGGACTGAGGAGAGTCTCTTATTGTAGATATGCCTCCTTATCCTCCAAATTGGTCTTTAGATGATGGACCTGGCGCGTGGAAGAGTCGTCCGTTTGACAATTTCGGCGGCAATAACTTCAATGGCGGCGGCGGAGGCGGAGGAGGCCCGAACGGGGGCGGCGGCGGTGGTTTTGGCAACTTCGGCGGCTATGGTGAGTGTTTCTGAGTTGAGTTGATTGTGCAGATAGAGAATTCTAACAGTATTTGATGATGAAGAAGGTGGAGGCGGCGGTGGCAATGGGCCCAACTTCGGCGGCAATGGAGGGAACTTTGGCAACTTCGGCGGCGGAGGCGGAGGTGGCGGTGGCGGCGGCTTTGGGGGCAACAGTGGCGGCGGCAGCGGAGGAAACTTTGGCGGTGCCGGAGGCAATTTCGGAGGGAATAACAACTTTGGGAACTTCGGAAGCCGCGGAGATGACTTCATGGGGCGCAATGGCGGCGGTGGCGGTGGAGGTGGCTTTGGCGGTGGCGGCGGTGGCTTCAACAACGGCGGCGGCGGCGGAGGTGGAAACTTCGGCGGCATGGGAAACCGCAACGGCGGTATGGGGGGTGGAAATGGCACGTGGGCGGGAGGCGATGAGGAGGAGGGCGGCGAAGAGTACTGCGTCCATCTGCGCGGCATGCCGTATTACTGCGACGAGCAGGACATCTACAAGTTCTTCGCCCCGCTGAAGCCTATCAATTGCCAGGTGATTTACAACAGCCGCGGATTGCACTCTGGCGAGGCGGACGCCCTTTTCGCCACTCAAGCCGAGGCCATGGCGGTAAGTTGAGGGCTCTTCAAGCGTGATTTACATCATCAAGTTCGATTGATAAAGACTTTGGAGATGATTGATAAGACAGTTGATGGGTCAGAGTGTGTCACCTGAAAACCTCAAGTAGTAAAACTGGGAATTTAACATCATTTTTATTGGGCTATTTGAAATGGCATAAAAAGCGTGAAATTGTTTCTATCAATCAATGAATTCGCTTCTGAGAAACTCACTTGATGTCGTCAAGTGTGTTTTTCGTTGTGAGAAATCCCTGAAATGCCTACAATTGTCTCAAGTGTCCTTATCAAGTGATTATTCATCTGTGTGTCTGTGTGTGGTGAGTTAATTAACACTGATGATTTTTCCTTGTCTCTCTCTTTCATAGGCAATGTCAAAGCATAAGGAGAAAATGGGCTTTCGCTACATTGAATTGTTCTACAATGCGTCGAACAATGCTCGCAAGCGCGAGAGGAGGTTCTAAAGAGGGACAGAACAGAACTAATTGATTGAATTATTGGTTGAACAACAATAATCACTCTTAATTCTATATCTACAAACTAAACATAAATCAAGTGTGTGAATGCGTGAATAGTAATAATCCCTCTAGAAGATCATTCGGTGGAATGCTTTCACTTTATATTTCTTATGTTCTCTTTTATTTTAATATAAAAAGTCACATTGCATTTTTTTTTACAACAATTAGAGTGACACAATGGATTGTACTTTAACGCAGAAGAGAAGAAAAAAAAGAGAAGAGAATGATTGGAATTTTTTTTAGAAATATTTAGATAGAACCAAAATGGTTTGGTGTGAAAAAGATAAAGTGGAAATGTATAATGTATTTCCGCATAACAATATTCATTATTTTCTATGTAATAACTCACATCAAATGGAAATAACAAAATATTGATGACTTATCTTATGTAGTTGATATAAGTGAAGAAAGAAGAAGATGAAAAAAATCACAATTAAGAGTTAAAATCATTTTTAAATCATTACAATTAAGGAAATGATTGGAATTTTTTGGTATGTTTGTGTGAATTGGCGATGTTTTCTTTTTTTCTTGATGTTTTCCTTCCTGAAGAGAAACAAGATTTATTGTGCGCCATGAAGGAAAAGAAGAAAAAAGAAGAAGATGAGAAACAATGGAGAAAAAAATGTTTTATGATCCAATTTTATATATTTTGTCTGGAAAATCACAAGGAAAATTATTTTATGTGACATCCAGTGATGAATAAATTACAATGTAATTTTTGTTTGTTTCTCTCTTTGACTTACATAGTAATAAATAGACATGATAATACGTAATGATTTTTATTCTGCTGATATAAGATAATAATTTTAGGGTCAATTGTATGATTTTTTTTGTTTGGTACACTTTGCTAGAAATAACATATTTCCCCCTTTGCACTTATACATAATATATTTGGTAAATTGAGAAGAAGAAGATGAAAAACGAGCATTGAATAAAGAATTGAATGTGAATTTTCTACGACTTTTACTGGACTTTGCAGTACTTTTTGCATGACTTTTACTGTCGGTACTTCTGCGTTCAGTGCTGAATTGAGAGATGTTCAATGCAAATATCGCTCTGATGGTGTATTTTATTTTGAGAGCGAATACGTGTGTTTTCTATGTAAATAAGCGCATTTATATTTTCCGTGTGTCTCTTTTGTGGGTAGAAAACGAGGCAGAAAAGTGCAAAAAAAGAGCGTCAGACAGTGCTTGTGTGATGGTGTTAAATTCTATAAGTTTTTCTGCAATACAAAAAAAAATTCATGTACTTTTTCTGCCGTGTGCTTTTTTCTGTGTCCCGCCGGGAGAATAATTGTGTGATAGTGTAAAGTGGAGTGTTTGATAAAAATTGAGCAGCATTGCAAGTGTTGGGGCCACTCTGAGTCAAGAGTCAGCTGACGACGCAGCGCCTGAGAGACGGAGAGTGAGAAAGTGGGGATAAGAGCGGTGTGTAGAGTCAGCGGAACTCTTCTCCACTTCATTTTTCCCAAAGGCACTCTTTCGATTGGATGCCCAGAACTTCCGAAACACCGGCTAGACATTCTGCGTCTTCTCTGCCTCAGCATCCAAACGATCGTGCGCACGCATGATCACGAGACGCAGATATTTCCTAAACTGACTGTTTTCTGTGTGAATATATTTCGAGAGAGTGCTTATCAAAATCTCTGTGAAGGAAGTTTTCCAGTGTGTATTATGTGCTGGAGTGTTTCACGAGTGTGACTTAATCGGCTACCGATCACTTTATCGCCTCCAGTTTGTTGAATTGTGCTGAACAATTTAGCAATAAGTGCGCCCCGATTTCGTTGCATTTGCTGCACATTTTTCGTTTGTGTGCTTCTCTGTTTTTATTGTTTTGCCGTTAAACTGACTTTTGTGCCAGTGAAATTGGATCTCTCAGAAGGATTCTTTCTGTCGTCGAGAGAGAGTGTTGCTGAGGAAAGCAAAGTGTGACCTTCTCCAGAGCATTTCTTGGGGAATTTTCCCTCCGGGAAAAAGAAGGAATCATTCGACTAACATTTGCTCAATAATTTAACTACAGTGTCAGCTTATATTGGCGATGCTCAAAGAAGCGAAACACGACGCGGTGTTTGACTAACTGATCATTCTCTCAATTGGTCGCCAGAGTGAGAGGGAGAGAAAATTGATTGACTCTTTATCTGTGCTGCACAAATTGCATAATAGATTTTAGACTTAATGATCTTCTCATGATCGCTGGCTCGATTGAGCTGAGAGCGCTTGGGCGGTGACTTCACGGAAAAAACCTACCTCAACAGTCGTTCGTGTGGCTAAGAAAGTGATTCTGGGAAATTTCACGAAACCCAAGAAGACCGGATGGTGATCTCAGAGCAGTTTGGAGATCACAAACCTAATCAAATCATTCCCTCGCAGTCGATGATCTCCAGCATATTTGTTTATTCCTCCAACAATTGTCCAGCGCTGCGTGTCTTTCGGACTGGCAGCAAAAGAGAACAGTTTGTGTGATAATTAGAAATATATTTCGTGTAATCTTCCCTCTTCGTCAATAAATTTGTTGACTGATGAGCGAGATCGTTTGCCAGTGAAGTGATAAGTGTTGTTGAGACGAGGCGTGTTACAAGGAGAGAAGAAAACAACTTTTTCATATAATAGGAGGAAAAAAGAGCAAAGAAAAAGACACATGACACAATTTTTTCCTTCATTTTTCAATCTATTTTTGAGGGCATCAGCAGCACAATGTGAATGAACAGTTTTCTGCTCGAAAAAGGCCTTTTTCTTTTAAATTCCATGATCCTCGCGAGGAAGTGAAGTGTTTTCTTGAGAGGAACAATTTGTGTGTGTAATTTGTGCAAGAGGAAGAAACAACGATGGCATTACTGAAGAAGGACGGAAAGGAGAGTCTGGATCTGTCGCCGAAGATCCTCAAGATGGACTCACCGCTGACGCCCAAGGTTGCCGGCTCACAGGACACCGGATGGGGTTATCAAAATACTCTGGTGAGTGTCTCTTCTCTCTGGTCACTATCACTGTCTGTCCACGTGAAAAGCGATGCCTTCAGTGATAATCTGGAGGAAACTGGCTTCACGTTTCACTTGGGAAGACATTGAAATTGTTTTTTTCTCCATTAACTCTTGAAGCTTTTATTGCAAATTTCATGTTCTCTGAGCAATTAGTCGATTTACGGTGAAAATTTGATCTCTCAATTAATCACTCTTTTTTGTGGTTTGTCTTCAAATGTGTCCCGATGATCGTCATCACTGCGAAATTTGATCTTTACACCAGACAAACGAGTTTAGAAACAAGAATTTTACCAAAACCACCGTCTTTCCCACGAATTATTCTAGTATTTTTGCGCAAGTTTACCGTGTTTTCTGCAAAAACACGTTTGAAGAAAGCTCCACCAACATTTGCAATCAAGAATTCTTCATGATCTCTCTTTTTATCATTGAATGAAGAGCAAGAGATTTGCGTATTTTTCCCTCAATTGAGATCAAGATCAGAGGAATATTCTAAGGTGGATTTCCTCCAATGTGTTTTGCGCATGCAGATGAAAGGAATCTATTAAAAGGCGATTTATTGAAAAAAAAAAAATATTGATCAGCAACTATGCATATGAGTAATTTATTCAAAATGCTCGACTGAAGAATGCAAAATTTGCATAATTCCACTATTAGTAACAATATATAGTGAAAAGAAATATTATTTGAGACGCTATTAAGTTTGTGTGCGAAGCAAGTGGATTTTGTACTTGAAACCGAGTGTTTCAATTAATGTTTTTCAAGTGATTTACTATGACTTTGATTTTTATTGCTTCTCCCCCATCGAGTGGCTTTTTATTCAAATGCGCGATCGCACTGTGGAAGTCACACGAAGTTTGCGAAAAAGGGTCCATATTTGGAGATAAATTTCTCCATCGCAATTATCTCCACACGTCATGCCACTCTTTTTTTCTTCGCCAATTGATAAGGACACACTCTGTGATAACACTTGCCACACTCTGACCGAAGAGATAGTGATCATATGATTTTTTCGATTGCTATAAATTAATAATTTCGACTGTCAAGGCGAATTACCTGTCAATGTTTCGCGCTTCACATCGCATTTCGTCAAATTATTGCCTCTTGATAAGCGCAAGTCAAGCTCAAAATTCATTGAGTTGTCTTGTGAGGAATCTTCGCCAGCTCTCAATGTACTTCAGATGACTATATATCTCTTGCGTATGTTGAGAGGATAAAAAAGAGGCCACGAGTGTTAAAATATCTCACGTGATTTCTTCTGCGCGGATTGAATACCAAAAATTCGAAGAGAAGGTAGAAAAAAACGTGAAGCACGATAAAAAATGCCCAAATAATCACGTGGATGGCCGGATGATCATATTCTGTCCCTTGACAACATTCAGGAATGATTGGCAGTGAAAAAACTCAATCACATGACTTCAATTGGCGCGGGTTTTACCATTAAGAATAACACTGAAAACCAGGCATCATTAAGAGCCTTTATAACAATAAATGGAAATATGGGAATTAATTTCCCACTTGTTCCATCTCTGGTGCGATCAACAACACGCGTAAACCAGATTGAGTTGGTTTTGTTGCCGAAAAGACATTTACCTGCGACACACACTAATCAGTCGGCAATATTTTTTCAGTCACGCCTTTATGCATTATTAAAGCCCCAAATGTTGTGTTCACGTGAATTTGTTGCTAATTTACATGAAAAATAATACGATCACATCATGTGAGTGTCACACATGTCTCTTCGTCACAATACTCATCGATTTTCACGCTACACTTCCATCGTGGTTCGCACGAGGGGTGATAAACTTGTGACACTTACTCTGCAATTGGTTTGTCCATCCCAGAAGACGACGACGACAAGGATTAATGGGTCACTTAGCGTGTGTGTAAATTGAATTTAGCGCTGAAAAAGTGGTGATTTCACTTCCAATTTGGTGACAATTTCACACTCAAAATGCTCACTATTTGCCCATTGATGGGTCATGAGATCGAATTTACACTCCATTTATTGGGTGGAAAAATTGATTTTTCCATGCACAAAAACATCTATTGAGTAATTTGTTTTGATCGTTTTGTATGAACAAATTCGGAATTATTTGGACTTTTTATTGGCAAACACAGTAATATTGTCTGCAAACAAGTTTGCTTGAGCACGAACAATATTTGGTACAGACACACAAATTGATATGCTTCAATATTTCCATAGCTGTCTCGAAGGGAGAAAGCATGATAAGCATAATCCCTTGGCAATGCCTTAACTTTAACTGGGAGATAGATACAAAGACTCTGTGCAGAATCTTTAACACTTTTGTTACTCTTGAATGCCTTTTTAAGAGCTTTTTTCGTCGCTTTAAATAATAAAGCGAATATTTCAACATGATAATGAGCTTGAATTTGGCACTTACAAGCCAAAAAACCGAAGTTTTTCATACACAAATGCTTAATTTTGCCAAAAAAAGAGACATATTTCCAGCTTAACCAAAAATTTGACTATTTTAAGGATTATTTAATAGTCAGAATTTGTTTTAAATCCAACACATAACCTAGAAAAAGCAATAAAAATCATTTTTCTAGGCGAAATCATTTCGGAAATGCCCTCAAACTGTAACAGAAGCTTTGGCAATGCAAATATTCAAAATATTTTACTACTTTCAACTGGAATATCTGCCCCTTGGACGAAAGACTCTTTAATCGCGGTGTTCTGAGCATTTTTTTACAGACATATCATCAATCAGATAATCAAATTCCTGTGTGGCAAAAATGCTTTTGTATCGCGAAATTAATCATTCGCTTGAAAGAGAATTTTTCGGGTGGTTCTTGGCAAAAAAGCTCTTGCGGCAGAAATCATTCACTTGAGAGCTCTCGTGCAGTTCTTACAAGAGCTTCAAAATCGTGCCTCCGTCGATCAAGGTGAAAAGAATGTGGGTAATTTATTTTCGGTGCCAGAACAATTGAAAGAATCTCTCATTCATAGTAGCGAAAAAAAACCGCGATTAGAGCTGGAAATGCATCAGATTGCATAAGAAATAATCTTCTCACAGTGCCGAGAATGTTTTGCATAAAAGTAATTTGATGCAATTTATAGTAACAGAATGTGCTTAGTGAGCACGTCTGGAGCTATGAGACGATAGTGAAATATTGTTGTTTATTATGGTTTTTCTGTAGACTATCGCAGGAAATTTCCACGGTGGAGAGAAAGGGCGAGAAAGTGATGCCGCGAACACACTTGGAGATAATTCAGTGAGAGAATTCGGTGAAATTTTGGCTGGTCGCATGATAAGGAAGTCTTAGTTTGATAAAGCCACAGAATCAAATTGTGAGGTAATTGTCCTCGACGTAAAGCTCTTGAAAAGGGGCATTTAAGCTATACTTTTTGGTCACAAAGCGACGTGAGGTGTCGTTATCAGCGTCTTTTTCGGCAGTCGTTATCGTCGAAGTTGATTCTCACAATCTAAATCCGTGATTTTAATTAGCGACATCACGCCAAAAAATGGTTGTTTTTACAATTTTACACACTATTTTTGCTCATTTCGACCAAATCAGTCAAAGTGTCAACACCGAAATTCACTTCTCTGCACAATTTTTCAGTCCTTTTTCTTGTTCTTTGTTCAATACTTTGTGAGTTGTTTGCCCATTTCTTAACATTTATTGGTGAATTTCTGAGTGATTAAGTGCAACAGCATCCAAAATGTGCCTTCGTGCCTGATATTTGACATCGTCAGTGTGATATTTTGTAAGTTATTTGACCAATCGCATCATGTCTTTAAATATCCATTCACCCGGCGTCTCCACTGTCAAAGCTTTCTTCGCGACAAGAATTTTTCTCGCGTGCTTAGCAGTCATGCAGTTTTCCCAATATGAGAATTAGGTGAGAAAATGCATTGATCTGCGAGTGTGGAGGGGGAAATTATGCATGTTTCACTTGCAGCGAAGAAATTGACGGTGCGCTAAGAGGAAAGCTCGCCTGATCGGTGGCAATGCATTAACTGTAAACATTTAACGAAGTACTGCACATTTTCACACATCGGAAATGTGGAACAAAGCTCCAGATTCTGAATGTGGAGAATCTGGGCTGGGAAGCGGGGGAAGGACGTGTGCGATGCGAGAGAGAAAAAAATGGCAAATATGAAAATTGGAGCGAGAAACAATGCGAGAAGCTCTTCCTCCTCGCGCGGGATTCTTCTCCCATCATTACCATATCGCGGATAAATCTGCGGTATATAAGTTGTCGATTAGATTGGGATTGGCTTCAGTGGAATTGATGGGATTGCACGGAGTGCATCGCGGAAGTGGAGGATTTTTCAGACGCTCTCTCGCTTCTCGTGGCTTCGCGGCGCGGCGCAAAAATGAGAAATATGAGACAGTGGTGAAAAATTTCGGTGAAATCCATTATGAAGTCAATCGCGGAAACGCTGAGGCGACAAGAGATCACCAGGAGACCCCATCGTGATCTCTATGTTGGCTCACTTTATCCCACGGCGCAGGTAAAATATTATGTGGTGAGAATCAAATGTGGAAAATTGTGGCGAAACGTCTAATTTGATAATTAGAAGCGCTAACAAAGTTTAGTGATGACTTTAGTCGCTTTAGTTGACGAAATAATTTGAAAATCATGCTCAGTTGGAGGAAAAACTTAAAAACTTCCAAGAATTCTCTGAACTTTTAAAGTGAATGGCAAAAGTGAATCATTTCTCGATAGAATTTATTTTAGAATCTTAAAGAAAATGTGAAATTACTTGTGAAATTGTCGATATTTCCGTGAATTCAATAATTCCAGCTATTACTGATCTAAAATAGATATTTCTATTCTTTCATTCATTCAATTTTATGAGTGATGTGAAGAATTTTTAATCTATAAATTCTGTTTTATTAGATAAACCTGATAATTATTAATGCACTTCTCAGAATTTTGAAAGCTTCCGCTTTTCAAGAATTCATACTAATGAATTTTGATGTGATTCCCCTTGAAAAACTCTCTC